AAGGTCAAATATTGAACTTTCCTCAGACTAATCGTTTGGGAAAAATAATCTAAATTATTCCTAAACGGTATTTTACGTTCTGACTTCTCACCAGATGATGTAAAAACAAACAAACAAAAACAACACAACAACTATTTACCTGCAAAAATCTGGTAAAATCAGAAAAAACATTTATATCATCAGGTCTTGAACTCTAAGACGGTTGCTGTGCATGAACTAAATATCACCTTAAAACTGTAAAAGCTCTTTAAAACAGATCCTAACTAAACATTTCCCCCAAAACAACGTTTCCAGATGTTGTACAAAGAAAGAAACCAGGCGGGAACTAGTCAAACAGCTGCACTGATTCCTGTCGGTCTAACTGTGGAACGTAAACCTAAAATCAGGATCTTTCATCGTCTCGTTAAAAATCTCATCACTGACATTCTCCAGATTGTCCAAAACAAACCAGATCTGCTGTTTCTCTGTGAAGCAAACGCTCAGGAGCGGCTCGGCTGAACTGCAGGCAGTGTTCCCACAGAGCAGAGCTGTGACGAGCATAAAGCAAATTAAAATATGTAGATTTAAACATCTATTGTATGTGTTTCCTCCTGGATGTGGGCCCTTACAAACTGCTGCTGAATAAAGAACTCCCTCCTCCTCCCTTTCTGTCTTTGTCACTGTTTACGGCGCCGAGCTGTGTCCTGCTGCACAGAACACGTCTCTGAGTGGTTCTGTTTCCACAGAGGACTTCATGCTGCAGAGGAAACCGAGCCCGGAGCCAACAGAAGCCCAGAAGCTGCTGGTCGGGGTTCAGAGGGTTAACGTGAGGACTAATGAAGCGCATCCAAACAGAAACGCTGTCGAGTCCCGACCGGGTTCAGGCTGTCACAGACGCAACATGCAGGGCGGCACAAACTGATGGTTTAATGATTACGTGATCGATGCGGGACCGACGCCGAGCCGAGCCGGTCCGGTCCAGGTCGGTTTAGACGGCAGACGTGTCACCACCGCGCTGCCCCTCGGTGATTCGCTTAAACTCTTCGCGTCCCGTTTATTGAGGTCAGGAGCTGCAGCGCTCTGACCACTACTTTGGGCAAAGTGAAAGACATTATGCTATATTACCCAGCAGGCACCAGGTGGTGGCGGTGCAGAGGACACCATGGCAACGCCATGAAAACGCCATGGCAACACCATAGCAACTGTGGCCCCACTTGCTCGCTGGTGGTGTGGTACAGCCCAGACTTGCTACAGTGGTGTGGTCGTCAGATACACACTTCAGTCACATCAGTAATAGTAACATTGTTCATTAATTATTTCATCAATCAGTTAATTGATCATCATCATCAACAATCAGTCAAAAGGAGCAAGAACACAGTATCTACTGGTCTCTGTTTTTTGCTAAGTGAGAGACAGACAGAGGGATGAGCTGATTAAAAGGAAAAAAAGAGAAAGTGATCAAAGGGAGAAAGCAAAGGTCAATGGATGGATTAATTAAGAGAGAGATGCGATCGCCGTGCGGTTGGAGTTTAAAGGAGGAGAGGTGGAGGATGTTGGTCGCCTCTTAATGAAAAACCAGGAGAAGGAAGTGCAGCGGGAAAGCAAAGGAGAGCAGCAGACGGAGGAACATACTGATGTGTGGAAGCAGCGGCGGGATGTGAAGAAGTAATGCTAGGTAGTACTAGAGGAGTGACAGACTGATAGCTAGAGTAGATACAGATGAATAGAGAGTTTAGACTTTTACTTGTCTTTTTTGTCACAGGCACTAATGTCTTCACAGTCATATAGGAGGAATCAAAAGTCAAAAATGATTTCAGTGTCTAGAATCGCTACAAAGCTAAAACATTTAAAACTATTTCATCTAACACTTCCTCCAAATATACCAAACTTAACTAATATATATATATACCTGTATGTATATATATGTATATATTTATTTGTACATATATATTTCTTTATAGATAAATGATAGAATTCAAATGAATACAATAAAATATCTCAGTTAAATCACAGTATAACATGGTACATTCTCAAAAACATAGTATATTTTAATATATTCTTTTTTTTTTTCTTCTCAGCATAAAATAAAAAATAAACGAAAAACAAAATAAGCCAGAGGGTTTTTTTTTTGTTGTTTTTTTTTTCTTAAAGAGTCACTTCTGTTCATGCAGTCACAGACTTAAGTATTAGCGCCTCGATAGAAATCAATAATGCTCGATGACACACCAGGTTGAAGCCCTGTTGATTGGTTGAAAATAACTGTGTTCTACTACACGTGAAGCAGTCGAACTGTTGCCGTGGTTTCCACTGTTGGGGTGCAGAGTAGAGCGAGCTCGCCGCCTCGCCGGGTGCTGCCGGCGGCGGCGGCGGCGGCGGCGGTCCTGGGTCCTAAGCATTTAAGCTACAATTGAACTAAACAAACCCTCCCACCACAAATCTTTGAGATTTTTCATTCAGCTAAACATGCAATGACTCCGGGGGGGCGGGGCAAGGGCAGCGGGGCGGGGCGGGGGGGGAGGAAAAAAGCATTTCTCTAGAAACAAAGACAGATCGTTTTTAAAAACTGCCCCCACGTAGAAAAAAAGCAATCCATGTGCAGATAAAAGGTCGAGTCTGGAGTTAAAAAGGGGGACGTGAGAAGGTCGACTAACCCTTCCATCTGTGACCACATGCACAAACAACATGGCCCCTCCGTCAGCGCCTCGGCCCCTCCCCGTCCGTCCGTCCATCCGTCCGTCCGTCAGGCCTCCGTCCACGGCATCCAGAGCTACGGAGTCTACAAGTAGGTGTTTCTTTTTGCTACATCATGTCAAAGCTACATTCAACTACAACAGGAGAAGAGCTGGGCTGTGGCTGGTCTTAGTGTGAGAGATGAGGAGATGCTGCCGCTGCCGCTGACTTTATGGAAAGAAAACGAGTGTGTTACGCGCCGCAATGCTGGCACGCTTCGACACAGTAGATGGCTTTTGGCACAGCTCGCGCAAACGCTACAAATCACCGGCGTCTCCGTAGCATTGAATACTGAGCCAGGTGGGCTAAATTTATCACCAAATTAGATGAACTCTCTCCGCCGCCGCCGGTAAGAAAATAACATCGGATCGAGGCCTTTTGTCGTTTTAAAATAGAGGAGAAAAGAAACACAAGTACAGATGCATAAAGGTGTGCCGGCCGCTGCATCCCTGTCACATTGAAGGTGGGAATATTGCTCAGAGTCAAACAGTCGTCTGATAATGTGGATAACAGGAGCGACTGCGTTCAGGTGAAGTCTCAGCTACTGCATGTGCACCTCGAAGCGTTCACAGTATATCGTTCAGTCTTATTTGCAAAACAAACAGAAAGGAAATCAAAGCAGGTAATTTCCTCGGCGTGTTTTTTTGTCGTTTTTTTTTTTCTTTTAAACATCGAATGAGCGTGATTGTGCATTTACAGCTGCGTGTCTGAAGAATACAATGAAGGAATTGTGCTTCGTATAATCCATCATCTACAAACTCTGCACGGGTACAATATTACAGCAACACAGAACCACGTCCTAGGAGAGCCTCTACGATGCTCCATTATTCCGGGGAATAAATCCTGACTGGCCACTTTTATAAAGGTAATAAAGTTCAGGGCTGCACACCCGCTGCTCTGCATCGCGGAGCTGCAATGATTAAACCCACCAGAAGCCTTTTGCACAACTGTGTCTAAAGCTTATTTGAATATTATGCAGCCATCTAGTGCCAATTACAGATATTGCACCAATCATCCCCCTTGATCCACTTACATGAGGATGAGTTGTGTTCACGTGCGGCAGGAAAAGATGGGATTTTATCCGTGAAAGCAAATTACTTGAGAACCATCATGCTTAAATCATGCTTAAAAGCTCTTAAGTGGAAATTTGGCGCTGCTATTGAATCATTCCCACTTCCAACACGAGCCACATCCAGCCTCCTCGTTATTAAAACACGAACACAGTCAGAGAAATATACTGATAGAATAAAAAAGAGGGGACGGGGGGAAGAAAAGTCTGAATAAGAAAGAAACGAAAAGACAGACGTGAAAGAAAAGATCTGCTACATGTCTTTTTTGTTCTGATTTCTCTTTTTAAAGTTCAGTTTGTTGTTCAAACACTTTGTCCGAGTTCTGGTCGGACCGGAGGCGACGCGCTCCGACGGGGCAGAGGAGGAGTGGTTCCTGTTCACTCTGATTGGTTAAAAGGGTTTCTAGTAAAACATGACATCACGTAGATGGTCCTGGGGTAGAGCTAGATGGGTCTGATGGCGTCATGAGGTCAAACAGGTCGCGCCGCCCGGCGAGCGGCGCTCAGGCAGGCAGCGCGCGAGAGAGGCGACTGCATTGCTTTACGTTTCGACTGATTTACAAAAGGGAAGAAGAGCGACGTATCTCTCCAAGAAGCAGTCCGCCGGTCCGGGTCAGAGCCAACAGCCAACGAGGACAGGGAGCCAGACTCTAGTGACCAATCACTGGCATCTTTTGGGAGAAGGTGGGTCCCTCCTCATCCCACAGGGTGAGTTCAAAGCCAGAGGGAGGGAGACGTTCGGAGCATCATCAGTGTGTGTGTGTGTGTGTGTGTGTGTGTGTGTGCAAACATGACATCATTACTCACAGGTTGGAGACTACTGTTATCCACAGTTGTGACTCGGGGAGGGGAGGAGAACCGAAGATGACATCACAAAGCTCATCTCTGAGCAGAGGAGAAGTTCCGGGGCGGTCGTCCCCGGCGACGCGGCCTCGCCTTCGCTCTCGTCGTCGTGGGAACCATCCAGGCGGACGTAGCTCACCCTGGTGTGGCGCCTCACCGTCGCCCTCACCAGGACGCGCACGATGGAGCGGGTGGCGGCAGCGTTGCTCTCGCACAGAGCGCCGACAGAGCTGCCGTCCACGTCGGTTCCCGTGGTGATGGTGTCCAATTGATTCCCGCTGGCCGCCGCGGCCTCGTCCCCGCCTCCCGCTGCCACGGCGCCGCGGTCCTCAATCGCAGTGGTGCTCGCTCCCACGTCTCCCTCTCTCCTCTCCCCCTGTCATACCTCGCTCTCCAGGCTGGAGAAGTGGGCCGACCCTCGACGTGAGCACAGGCTCTTGGCTTTGAGAGGCAGGTGGGGGGAGTAGAACCTCCGTGGCTGTGGCACTGAGCGCAGTCTCTGGTACTGGAGCTTGGCGCTGGCGGAGGCCTGAGCCTGCGCCTGACCCGCCATCCCGACCCCTGCTGGTGGCGACACGGAGGACGAGGAGGGCGGGGGCGGGATGGGCATCGGGAGGGAGGTGGGCGACATGGAGGGCTGCTGGGGCGGCGACGGCGAGGGCTGAGGCGGGTGGTCTGCGGGCTGTGTGCTGAGGCTGAGGTTAGACTGGCTGCCTGATTTGGCCTGATCTGGTTTGGAGGGCAGAGGCTTGGGACGGGAGCCCCCGCTGAAGCTGTGGCAGTGGGGGAGCAGCTCCTCCTGGCTGTGGGACAGCGCCGTGGCTCCTCTCTTGGAGTGGGAGGCGTGGGAGCGGCTGTGGGAGTGGGGGTACGGGTGGGGCTGGGGGTAAAGGCTGCAGGAGCACATGGTGGCCCGTCCTGCTTCGTCTCCTCGATCCCGGCTCCGCCCTTTGCTCTTCCCTCCGCCGCTCTTCCACTTCTTCTCTCCCTTCACAGGAATCTTGTCCATGGACCAGTATCTGCGGGGCGGAGGGAAGGCTGCCGGGGGCGGCGGCCACTGCGAGCCCAGGCCTCCGCTCCCACCCCCGGACCCCCAACCGATGCCCGGCCCCGATCCCCAGAAATCAGCACCGATCCAGCCCTCCGCCCGAGTTCCCAGCAGCGAATCATCTCGACTGTTGATGCTGCCCCCTTTCTCCCTGGAGGGGTAGGTGCCGAAGAACCAGCCCCCTCCGATGCCGCCACTGCCGCCTCCTTCGCCGCCCTCCCAGTACCGCTCGAACCGGCCGAACTCACCCGACGAACCCTCGTCCGAGTAGCTGTCCTCTGCCCTGGCCCTGTCCCTCTCTGACTCTGATACTGCCCCTCTACCTGCCCTCCTGCCCCTCTCCTCCACCCGCTCCCTCACCCTATCCCTCTCCTCCTCCTCCTCCTCCTCCTCATCGTCGTCATCGTCATCCTCGGAGTCCCACTCGTGGAAGGACAGCCCTTCTCTCGTCTGTGCTTTCTCTTTCTCGTAATGCATCAGCAGAGGACGCCGCTCTCCCAGTCGGCCGCTGTCGTCCCGGTCCATCCCTCCGCTCCGCCGCCGCTTGGAGGTGGGGAGGAGAGGATGGAGGGAGGTGGGCGGAGTGTTGTCCCCTCTCCCGTTCACCCAGAACTTGACGGAAGCGGGGAGCTTGTTCAGGTTGGGGTAGCGCTTGCTGGGCGTTCGGTGTCTGGAGTGGGAGTGGGAGGATTTGGGTCTCCTCTCCCTGCTCCTGCTGCTGTCCTCCTCTTCCCGGTCGTTGCCCTCCTCTGTTCCCTCCCTCCTGCCTCTCTCCCTATCGCCCTCCCACGAATCCCGACCCTTGTCCCCGAACGTGCCTCGATACTGGGCCGAAAACGAGGAGTAGTCCTGCATCCCTCCGTCCCGGTCTCCCTCGGCCTCCCCTTCCCTGTCTGCCTCTACATCTCCCTCCTCTGGCTCTGACCGTTTCCCTCCAGTTGATTTCTTCCGTTTCTTTGTCTTCAGCGCCTTCTTCTTCTTCTTCTTCACCTTCCTGCGCTTCCTCTCCCTCTCGCGCTCCCTTTCCCTCTCCTCCCTCTTTTTCCTCTTTTTGTTCTTTTTCTTTTTCTTCTTCTCCTTCTCCTTCTCTTTCCTCCTCTTCTTCTCCCTCTTCTGTCTCTCGGACTCTCCCCCCGGTCCGCCCCTCTCCCTCTCGCTCCAGCTCGCCCACCACTCCTGGAGCTGCGACAGTTGGCTTCCTCCTCGTTCCCGCTCCCGCTCCCTCTCTCGGTCTCCCCAGGAGGTGCGAGGTTTCCTGGGCGGGATGGGAGGCGGCAGGCGGCCGTGGCTGAGGGACCGAGGCCGGATGATCGAGCGCTCCCTCTCCCTCCCCCGGCCCAGCAGGAGGCTGGACTCCTCCGTCAGCTGGTCGTCGTCGTCGTCGTCCTCGCCGTCGATGCCGCCGGTCCGATCCCGCGTGCTCCTGGAGGAGCTGTAGGAGTAGGTGGGGGAGGTGGAGCGGGACGAGGAGGCGGAGGAGGACGTGGACGTGGACGAGGTGGTCGAGGACGAGGACGAGGACGTGTAGTGCAGGGACACGGAGGGGGACGGCGGGGTGTAGGAGGGGCTGAGGGGAACCGGGACCGGGAGGGAGAGCGGGGGAGAGAGGGGGCGGGCCCTCCTCCCTCCTCCCTCCCTCACCCCCCCGTCTCGCGCTCCCCCCCTCCGGCCCAGCGGCAGGATGTTCTCGTACAGCGGCCCACCGGGCTCTTTGGGCTTCTTGGGCCGGCGCTTCCTCCAGAAGGATGAGGGGAGAGGGGGAGAGGGGTGTGGCAGCGGGGGTGTAGGGGGCAGAGGGGCCTGGCTCTTAGGAGGCAGTCTGGGCGTGCCCAGAGGTTTAGCAGCCCCCTTCCCCGGACCTCCGCTGCCACCTCCCACCACCCTCTTCCCCACCCCGTGGTCCATGCCCTTCTCTGAGTAGAAGGCCACACTGGCTGGAGGGGGCTGGGGGTGGCCCCTTGGCATAGTCTTGGGGGTCTGGGACCCTGCCTGCTGCTCCATGCAGGGCCCCAGTCCCTCAGGGTCAATGGGACCATAGTATCTCTTATAGCCGTCTAGTCCCCCACCCCCTCCAGCAGTCGAAGCCCAGTTTGGTGGGACTTTCTGAGCAAAGGGTCCCATGTCGGTGATGGCCCCCCGCACAGCCATCGGGTTGGTGGCTGTGGCCGACTTGGGAAGCCTCCAGCGATCCACCACGGCCAGCCGGCGGTCAGGCCGGGGCAGGAAGGTGGAGCAAGGGAGGGGCGCGCCGGCAATGGGGGTGTTGGAGGGACCCAGTGCCGTCCCAGAATGCACCACGGTGGGAGGAGAGCCCGGCAGAGGCGTCTTGTAGACGGGCTGCGGCTGCTGCTGCTGCGGCTGCTGCTGCTGTTGCGCCATGGCGATGGCTGGGTTGGTCATCGTCGTGGAGACGACGTGCGGCTGTGACGGCACCGACACCATCGCGGTGTGGTGATGCGAAGGCAGAGATTTAGATCCACCTGGTGCCGTCTCATCCTCAAAGCTACAGCAGCTGTACATGCCCTGAAACAGAGGGAGCACAAAGCAGCCGACTTACGGTGAAACGTTCTCATGAAGCGATGAAGAACAAACAGCTTTTCTAAAATTAGAAAAATACATAAATTAAATGTGGCTTTGAAGATCAATCGAGTCTCTCAGAAATACATTCCTACACAGGAAAAGTAAATATCAGCAAAAAACCTGAAAATCTGGCAGCAAGGGCGACGGAAGATAAACGTAAAACAAACAAACAAAAAACATAGAATAACGTATAAAAAAATGTAAAAGTGGTGAAATTTTTATTTTTTAAATCTGTGAAATAGCTGATTTGAATAATTTAATGATCACACGTAAAAACACTGATTTCTGGTACGGACACTGTGGACGGCTTTGGCCTGTTGTTTTTATTTATTTTTTATTTTTAAAAATTGGCAGTCAACATGTAAATTAATACTGTTTCTGTTATTTTACTAAATATTATCTGCAATTTACCAAAACAGGGAAAATGTATAAAATAAAAAAATATTTATCAATTATCAGTCCTTAATATATACAATACCTATAATTTATTTGATTTTTTTGCTAATTAAAATACAATAAAGACAATATAATTTTACAGGTTAAATCTGTAAAACAAACAAACAAATAATAATAATAATAATAATTCCATTTGTAAAGATACAGAAATATTTCATAGAAGATGATTCACTTCTGTTTATTTACATTTTTAAATCATATTTCTTAATTCTCCACATTGAGGCACCAGGACCAGTCTGATGAGGAAAACTTTGCGGCTTTTCACAATGACGACCACAGTTTTTGAAGCTTGGTTCGGTTTTAACAACAACAACACTATGTCATTAGTTTGAGGGTAAAAAAAAATCCCAATTTGTGATTTTTCACAACATGACTGAAGCTTCTCCTGATATTAGATCCTTCAGCTGTGAAGGACATTAAAATAAACGACAAAGACGTGGCGATCTGAAACGTATTTGTGATGCACGACTAACAAAACAGAAAACATTCGTCTTTGAAACGATGATGCAGCTGGTCGCGCCGGAACATCGTTTCTGAATGTAGGAACATACGTGTGCGCAGATGAAAGCAGAAACCTCGCCGCACAAAGACACTTCATCGGAGAGCAGCGCACGAGATGGAAATAATAAAGCGGCAGTCCGAGCAGCTTCCAGCTTTCAAAAGAAATGCAAGATTGCTGTTTTCAGATAAACATGCGCCACTATTTATAGAGCAGCCGTGCATTGTGCGGTTAATGCAGTCGCTTCCCTAAAAAGCATAAATTACACGTGGAGTGGCGGCGTTACGACGTGGATGGTTTCTGTCAAGGTCACTGCCGGAGGATGTGAGAGCAGAATTGAATTTCAATTAATCTGCCGAATTGACTGAGTGGAATTGAATTGACCCCGGACTGTGTAGCAGTGGGTAACAGATGAGGGCGACGTCCTCACCGGGTTAAAGCATGTGGCTCTGAAACACACTCCACCGAAGAAACCCTCCAGATTAACTCCATCTATTCATCAGGGCTGCGTGAGATTGAAACCGGACGGCGACTTGTAGGATCAATTTGTAAAATTAAAAGATTAGAAGATCAACCACAAGCCACAGAGGATCCTGAACAACATCAGCGGAGGAACATGTGATTGAACGAGGGTCCAAAGACTCCAGCGTAGGACAGAATGAACAGAAATGATCTGCAGTCTGTGATTCACGGCTGCTTTTCTGCTCATTTTGAATTGTGTTTTAGGAGCTTGATCTCTGCTCAGACAACTTTTGGCGCAAAATAAAATTAAATCTGTGTTTTAGTGGCTTCATGGAAAAATGACAAAGTGTCTGTAAATATACTTTTTTTTTGC